TAATAAATATAATATTTAAGTATAATTTAATTAATTTTAACTAATATTTTAGACAAATACTTAGTATCGATATATATGGATAGTGTCCGCAACAGTACTATAAATGGACCGCAATATTGATAGTATAGGACGGATGTGTTGTTTTCAAGAGTTGTTATCTCATTGTATGTGATTAGCGGCGGATATAATACTATAAACGCCTCCAACGGTTCGTTTGTTGTACTGATGGCCCAATCGGTAGTGTTTTGATTGGCATTAAGACAAATACAGTCATAGCTTTCATTGAGATTATTTGTGGGCATATTTTCGATATAATTTCAATGATAACTAAATAGTGAACTAAATGTTATACTGAATGCGATTCTGTTTTAAAATCTTATTTATTATATGAAATATTTGAAAAACACTGTATATTTACTGTATAAATACAGTAAATCGTTGAAACAATAACTAAAAATATTGCATAAGATCTTAATATACCAAATAATATTTAGTATTCATATTATGAATCCAAGTAATAGTCAATATATATGCAAATGTGTTGTGTTTTATGAGTTTAGGACTATTTAAAAGTTTTCATTGCATAAACATATGTTGTTTTTTACATATTTTATCAAACATTTTAAATATTTATATGTATTCATTAGTTGCCTTCTGACCCCGAGAAATGACCAAGGTAGATTAGTGTAGATTAGCATGTGCAACATGGCTAATGTTTTGAGATATGCCTAACAATTAAACACCAACTGCTAAATAATCAACATACATTTATTTTATAATTTAACACTTATAAGTATAAGAATACTGTACANAAAGGCAATATAATTAATATATCAAGTATTATGGGACTTAAACCAGTAAGTAATCTGTGATTGAGTTTATACTAACATATTGAAACAAATAATAATCCAATTATACATTATATTTAAATTTAATCATGGTACTTTTGTACAAAAACAGTTAAACACAGGCTTTCTCTACTGCATGTCAAAGTGTGCACTCGATATGTTCACCAAATGTCTGGCCCTAGAGTTGGGCCCAAAAGGCATTCGAGTTAATGCTATCAAGTAATCAATCATTAATTTTATTGATTATTCAATAATAAAAATACGTGATGTGTTTGTCTACAGTCCGGGTGCCGTTAGGACTAACTTCCTTCAGGTGGTGGGCTATACCAAAGAGCAATCGGACGGCTTTTACAATCAAAGGGGCAGTCAGTGTACTTGCATTTGTAGCGCTCCTGCGATGAGTGGTATTTCAAGTGTTGTGTCAAATGCTTTTTGTCGGCAAAACTCTTCGGGCATTTGTCACACGCGAAGGGCCGCTCATTCGTGTGCCGCAGCCGTACGTGTGCTGTGAGCGCCAGATTGTCGCGGAATGTCTTCCCGCAACCGATCCAATCGCATGCGTGCAGCTTAGGCTTGCGTCCGGTGGCGGCCGTACAAGTGGTGCCGCTCTTCGCGCCCCTTCTGGTCCGCGACTGCCGTCCGGTCCTCCTCTTCGGCGCCCGAGTGTTGGCCACTGTTGTAGTCGTTGTTGCGATCAAAGGCCACACTTGGCTGTTGTCGAGCAGACACTCGCCGTCTGAAGACTCTTCGTCCTCATTGTCTTCGTCGTCGTCTTCGCTGTCGTCCTCTGAATAGTCGGTCGACTCTTCAGTCTTACACATGAAGTCGTTGAACAGGTTTTGGGCCACAAATGAGGACTCGTTGTCGACGGCAGAGGCGGTAGGAGTGGTGCCGAGCGATGATTGAGTGGTGAGTGACGAGTGTTTTGGTGACAATTGGTATTCAAACTGATGGTCAGGTCTTAAGGAAGTCTTGTATTGGTTTTCAAGGCTTTGGATAACGAAATAAAAGTCTTTGTTTTGAAGACAAATACAATTGTTGTCGAAATAAAGCAAACATTTCCTGTAATTCTCATACAATTCAATGCATTTGCAGTAATACTGGAGTTCACTCTTCAGCCGCTTATTGTCGACACTCAACGCTTCCAACGAAGACATCACCAAAAATCACATCTAAGAAGATCACAACAACACATCCAAACCTATCACACAATCATCTGATTTAATGGTTAAACCAATTGTGAAGACAATCAATGCTTTCATTCAATACTTGTTTACAAACAATACTTCAATTCAGTTGTCGTCTAATAATAACGTCCCAAATATTGAGCCCCTCTTCACTCTATGCATGCTTTGTGTGCAGAATATTCTGTGATATTCTGTACTCTTAATGCAATTCCTATGATTGTTAAAATATGTTTCCACTTTCACTGTACAGTATTCTTATACTTATAAGTGTTAAATTATAAAATAAATGTATGTTAATTATTTAGCAGTTGGTGTTTAATTGTTAGGCATATCTCAAAACATTAGCCATGTTGCACATGCTAATCTACACCAATCAACCTTGATCATTTCTCGGTGTCAGAAATGATGAATAGATATAACTAATGAATAGATATAAATATTTAAAATGTTTGATAAAATATGTAAAAAACAACATATGTTTATGCAATGAAAACTTTTAAATAGTCCTAAACTCATAAAACACAATACATTTGTATATATATTGACTATTACTTGGATTAATAATATGAATACTAAATATTATTTGGTATATTAAGATCTTATGCAATATTTTTAGTTATTGTTTCAACGATTTACTGCTTATACAGTATTTAAGTGTTTTTTAAATATTTCATATAATAAATAAGGTTTTGAAACAGAATCGCATTCAGTATAACATTTAGTTCACTATTCAGTTATCATTGAAATTATATTGAAAATATGCCCACAAATAATCGCAATGAAAGCTATGATTGTATTTGTCTTAATGCCAATCAAAACACTACCGATTGGGCCATCAATACAACTAACGAACCGTTGGAGGCGTTTATAGTATTATATCCGCCGCTAATCACATACAATGAGATAACAACTCTTGAAAACAACACATCCGTCCTATACTATCAATATTGCGGTCCATTTATAGTACTGTTGCGGACACTATCCATATATATCGATACTAAGTATTTGTCTAAAATATTAGTTAAAATTAATTAAATTATACTTAAATATTATATTTATTAATATTACATGATAACAGTTTTATTATAAAACCACATGTGAGAGACACTGAAGAATTTATTGATTGGTGGATGTATACAATAGCATATAATGGTAACAATCTATTACCACATATTATTGTATTTCCCATTCAAACTCTAGAAACGGTGGATATTTTGGTCAAATATTTTGGGTACAACTTTACCCGATATATCGGTCAATTGGATAGCGATGTCATTATAAGCAAACCATTATTGGGTTTGCATTTCATTTTGTTGTTAATTAATTTGTATATAATTTATTATTTATGCTTTAATTTACAGAAATCCAATCGCCTCTGGAAATCATCGATTGTTGGGATCATAAGATTTATGTCTTTATATTATTATCAATTCTGGCCATCGGTTCCGTATTTGGCCTTAAATACCGATCCATTAGAATAGGTTTGGAGACTATTTCCAGCTATTTGTCGGTTATTTTCTCCGATTCTTTTGGTGTCAAACGAATTGTTAAACCCTTTGACCGACTCTTTGCCGGCCTATGGCTTATGATTTGCTTAATATTTTTATGTATATATTCGGCCAAAATATACGACATTATGATTGCGGACCAGAGATATGACACGATTGAGACCTACGATGATCTGCACACCAAAGAGCAGTGGAAGCGCTATAAGATTAATCCGTATGGCTTTGAATTTATCAATCATGCCTATTTAGATTTCACAGATCGTAACGATATTGCTATTAAGTTAGGCCACAGAACTTTGTTTGCAGATCCCATTCCTATTGTATTAAACATTTCCTTAAATCAAAACCTATTTCTGGATGTTTTGAGCGGACATTCAGTATTAATGGTACCAAAACTTGTTGGCTATTATACGTTGAGACACATCCGAGCCGTATATCGGGATGAATGGGAAGCCTATCGGGAGGGCATTGACTATCATATATCGAGTAGTGATTCGACTAAATCCTTATACCATTGGATCGTAAATAGCGAGCGATTGAACCAATCGTTTACCGATCAACTCAATAAGATGTGAGTACAGTATCAGACATAATGAATATGTCATGAAAGGATTAATTGGTGATATAAGCACATAATTATAGTCATCAAACTTGTGCTCCAATGTGTTCAATAAAGATGCAATCAAAATATGATTTGTATATAAAGCTACTTTTTTGTGACCAAAGCATCCAAAAAGCATCAGTTTGATGTCTACATGTAATGTACAGTACATTTTAGTTTATAAAATATAATTGCAATAACTTGTAGGTAACAAAAATTCTTTGTAAGAATTATTGCTATCTCTATGATTAATTACTTTTTATAAATACAGTTGTTTCATGTATTGAGACTTTCGTAAAAAAAACTATAAATATTTTGGTCACAATTAAACAAATTATATTTATTAATAGTAATAATTTCGTGTTTTATTGATTAGTGTGAAACGTATGCAACAAAACGGTGTCTATGAGTATAAAGTAAGCAAATCATTGAAACCTTTGGGTTTCGGTCCCGATATATACGACAAACCCATTGTTGAGAAGACCTTTCATATCATATCCATTGGAGACATCGTTGGAGTCATTTGGATCTTAATCTCTGGCATAACTCTATCAACGCTTTTACTCATCATTGAAATGATATATTCTTTCAAAAGATCTCAACAAACCATTTCTTCACTCAATTTCACATCATTTATGCATTTTATAAAATTTATTTATTTCAAAGATGTTAAACCTATTAAATAGTCAATTCATAAAACACTATATATTTGTGTATACAGTGAACATTGGATATACATGCAGTGTTCGCAAAGTTGGCGTATATTTGTGGACACTGTATGAAATATTCACTGTATGGAATGTGCAAATACAATAGTGAAAATAAGTGAGTATAGTTACTATACTATAGTACACTCAAAATTAGTAATCATTATGATTTTATTTTTGCAGTAAATAAATATAAAATCCAATCCAAATTAATATTTTCATTACACCCATTCATAATAATTACAAATAAATGCTTTAAAATGTTATGATTTATTAAAATTATTTTAATAAAACAATATTTGTAAAATGATTTCTAACATAAACTAATTACCATACGTTTGGTCAATGAATTTAAATATTAATTATATTAAATATATTTGAGATTAAATTTAGTGCACAATTAAATACGTAATATAAATATACAAAAAAGATTACATTTAATTATACTGTGAACAAGAATTTTATTCATAATAAAATTGTGACAAATAAATAACTATTATATAAATCACGTGTTATTTAACGTGTATTTATGTGCGCTCTTCACGTGTTGATTGAGTTGTGGTTTACTATAAAAACACTGAAAACATGCGCTAAACTCGCACTTAAAGGGCCGAATGCCCTGATGTTCGTTGATGTGGGTCTTGAGTGACCGGTTATTGCCGAACCTCTGGCCACATGCGGGCCAAACACAGACATAGGGTTTGATGTGTTCCTGTTTGTGCTGAAAGAGCGTATTTCTGGTCACAAAACTCTTGGCACAGCCGACAAACTCGCACTTG